GAAAAACGTTCAGCTTCCATTCAGGATACCCAAGGCTCCCACACCCACTCAAGCTACCAAGGACACTATGAGACATTGCTGTAGAGTATAGCACAATAGATGAAAAAGCATGCGTAAGTTTACACATGTGAAATTTTATCATGGTTTTAAGCTGTGTCTATTAAATATGTACCTCTTAGCATTCACACTTTTCCCTCTAGTCTCAATGGTTGCTTGAAACGGTGAGCTAAGCGGATTTAAAAGCAAGAGAATTCTAGTTTACCCCATTCAAACTTTGTCAAATGCAACTAAACTTGTTAAGATACTGAACACGTAAAGGATAAATAGGAACTTGATAGCTAAGTAGATAAACACGTGATGGGTCGAAACTGACTGACTATGCAGAACAGACAATATACTGTATGAAGCAAGAGATGATTTTTCGGGGGGGGGGGAGGCAGGAGGAGGTTGAATAGGGTAAAGGAGGTCAAATATTTGGTGATGGAAAGAAACTTGACTTTGGGTGGGGAGCACACAATGGGATATACAGATATCTTGTTTCCCAGGAGGCACCTTAAAAGTGAGCAAGATCCTACAGCTCCCGGTGCCATGCGCCATGCTGGTTTGGAGCAGCAACAGAAGCAGCCGACTAGCAGGTCAGGGGACTCTAGGCAGAGACGGTCTGAGGCAACTCCCTGAGCCTCCTGTCATCAGAGAGGCACCAGAAAAACCTCTGAGAATTTCACCTTCCCCCAAAAGGTGTGCAAATGACTAAGAAACCGCTGGATAGACCAAAGCAATCTGCTATGTCAGGACTGCGAAGATTTGTTTTGCATGCATGCATCAAGGACCAGGGACCAACCAGGCCGTGGTTCAAATTTCAGGGTCAAGCTTCCTTTAGCAACAAAATGCATTCAATGTTATGCCCAGATTTCAAGATCCCCACAGACCAACAGGGAGCCACCCAAGTCCGATGCAAAAGCAGACAGTCCTTCATTATTATTACAGACCCGGGTCTGGCTCCCAGGCCCTTCTGACCCAACGGCAAGAAGGGGAGAGAGACCGCCATGAGAAAAAACAGGGTTTTAATAGGGGGTGGAGTGAGGGGACTGTGGGCCCTGCCGATTGGCCAGGCGCAAGCCAGGTCTTGTTACATAGGATGCAGTAATTTTTATGGCGTGCACATCCCTCAACTGTCATTGGTTAGTTTAAAGAAATCCCGGGCGTGGCCAGCAGAGGCTTGGACTTCCGGGAAGAAGGTAGCACATGGCTGCTGCCCAACATGGAGGATACGGGGTAAGATAGAGGGCATAGCCCTCACCCTTTCATTCTACTTCTCAGCTGAAATGAAATAAAGGGTTCAAAATTCACTAACTGTAAGCTCTGTTGTGTGACAGAAGCACATATTCCTCCAAGTATTTCTTTCTACATCCTATTCATGTCTGTGGATGTTTTTCTTTCAGTGGTTAGACTAATAATGACTGCAAATTATAATTGCTAATATTCTCTAGAGGAGAAGGCTTTTAAATCACCTTCCAGCATTAATACCGATTTAAAAAAAAAAAACAACACTAAGTTGCATTTGGAATTTCCTGGATTCTTCTGTTTGTCATGCAAATATTCAGCTCTGCTCTTTTTATGATAATATGAAATAAAGTAGTTTCTCATAGTAACATTGTAAATCATTTGCTTTCTATTACATGCAGCTGGTCTTGTTACTGTAATGATTTTCTGTGAGTGCATATTGCAGAACACATAAGATGCAATGCGATAGTCCTTTATTCAGAATTTATATGCAATTCTTGTTTGCCCAGAAATAACGAGACAATTTGGAGATACACTTATTTATTGTAATGCATTTCTTTTTAATAGGTATCTACATTTGGGGGGAATCTAAATTTCTAAAAATGATATGCCATCTCTTTTGGTTATATGGACTCGAGTTTTCATTGCACTGAAAATTCAGAATCAAAATCAGAAACAGCTGAGGTAGTTACTCGGGTGCCTTCCTCCAGCCTTATTCAAAAGACTATAGGATGAACGGTAAGAATTAAGTAAACCACAAATTATTTTGGAGTGTCTGGTTTATATTATAGATAAATTTTTCACTGCTGGTTGTTTTTTCAAAAATATTGCCTGTATTTTTTGATATTCATTCCTATGATCTAATGTAAACGATGTCCTACCAGTTTAATGTATTATTTATTCATAATTACTTTTTTTATTACACTCATATGCTATAAATATTTCTCACTCTGCTCTTTTGGATCTCCTCCAGAGAGCAATAGTCTCCAAAACATGTCTGGAAAATGTTATTGCGAGAACTATCCCCTCTTCGCCTTGGCACATAACTGATTTCGCACCTTGGATGGAGCCTAACCAGATCAGCAATGAAGCATCTATTGGTAAGACACCAGCTTAAAGATTATTTATTAAGAAGCAACAACAAAATGTCAAGACGGAGTGTCACTCTGGTGTCAAATTTTTCTCCCTTACCGGTCTGGACAAGAATTTTAAAATTCTTGATGTTAAATTTGCATGAGTTTGTAGTTTGATGACATCAAAGTAGGTTCGTTTTTGGTTTCGAAGTATAAATGTCTGTAAACCTTTTTTTATACATACTTCAAAATGGTAAATTTATCCAATATTTACTATTTCATTTTATTTGCAAAGGGAGCATCACCAACATGATGCATTGCATATAATAGGGGAAAAAGGAGATTACTAGTCTATGGGCCACATATTTTATTTTATTTATTTTTTAAATATAGTTTTATTGATTTTAGAGAGAGGGAGAGAAACGTCAATAAGGAGAGAGAATCATTGTTTGCCTGCCTCCTGCTCACCCCCCACTGGGGATCAAGCCTGCAACCTGGGCATGTGCCCTCACCTGGAATTGAACCCTGATCTCCTGGTTCATGGGTCTATATTTGATTTCAGAGAAGGGAGGAGAGAGAGATAGAAACATCAATGATGAGAGAGAATCATTAATTGGCTGTCTCCTGCACGCCCCACACTGGTGATCGATCTGGCAACCTGGGCATATGCCCTGCCCAGGAATCGAACCGTACCTTCTGGCTCATAGGTTAATGCTCAACCACTGAGCCACACCAATGGGCAGGCCACATATTTTAGAAGTATGTTTAATTCTCACTACCATGTTCTGCTCTATTCTCATTTTTCTCAGTGGTCCCTGTGGCTCTGTATGAGCACCCTCCACACTGGGGTCACCATATCGGTGGACATAGGGACATGTGAAACCTGCCAGAGCAACAAAGTGGGAAAGAACCTCTCCACACCCCTGACTAGTAACAACAATGTTACGTCTTAAAGGAAGTGGGGACAGTTCCTACCACACGGCCCCTCCCACCCCTGCCTCACCTCCATGTAAAGAGAAGGCCAACCTACCTCCCAATCCCAAGTCCCTTGGGCCCTATGTCTGGGGTGAAGTAAGGCGGGTGGGGCTCTGAAGATGTGAACTGAACTGTAAGCCAGTCCAGGGAGGTTTGTGTTTTAATTCCAGGGTGACCAGAATGTTAGGAAACAAGCTGAAGCTATTCTAACAGGATATGCCAACTATTAGTGTCTTCAAAAACCACCAGAAGAGCCTTTTGGTTCTTAGACCTACTGCGTGCAGTAAGGGAGACCACCACCTTGACAGTCTCAGTTGGGAAAGGGTGTTAGGGCCTGGGCTGCTGACGGTGAGGGGGTGATGGAAGGCAAGAGTGGGGGTCATTTGGGTGACACTTTGAGCAGTTTGTGACGTTACAGCTTTACGTAAGTGCAAAAGCAAGGCTAGGGTCTTGGTGTGAATCTTGCTGAGCAAGTTGCTGGTCTTGATCAGTAGACTTATCTTCCAGAACAATTGTGTTCTAGATCAAACAGACAAGTTCTTTTGCATGATCTCAGTGTTGTCTAACACAGGGACCAGGAAATCGTTTTTTGGCCCCAGTACTGATTATCTTGGGGACAAGACATTACAAGGGCGCTGTTCTCAAATTAGAAAGGCAGATTGTCCCACAACAGTGTTACAAGCACTGTTTGTCCACAATTGGGCAAAACTAAAACCATTTATGTTTACATCCCACTTCACTGAGATTTTGAAATAAATTAAAGTACACTATATTATTATCCTCGTTTGAAATTGGAAGCCCAAAGAAGTTAAAAACTTGTCCAAGATCACAAATCTAATCATCGGAGGAGTCAAGATTCAGACCTAGCTCTGTGTAAGGACCACCTGGCTAAGATATTGGCCGCCTCACTGGTTAGCTGGAGTGGTGCTGTCTGACTTTGGAATCTTGCTATTTCCCACTGTACCACACTATTTCCAGGGAAGGTAGAGCTTAGCCATTTTTCTTAGCTGAGTTTCAGTCTATTTTTTCCTTTAGTGATTAAAACAAGACCATGTCCTTGGCATGACACGTGTTGGTATTTAATTACATGCTTCTTGCACAGCTCTTTATTTATGTCTTTTCACGTTGATAACATTGAAATAAGCCAAATCTGCTTCTTGCATTTCTTTTGTATCTTCCAGCACTTAGTAGGACCCCAATACTACATTGAACTGAGTTTAAATCTTTGCCATTCCTCGGATAATATCTCCACTACAGAGTTTTAGCTACTATTTAAGACACAACTGTGTCTTACAAAGACACAACTCTGCCAATTATTCGTTGTGACAATGAGCAAACATTTCCCCAAATTTTCCAGCAAGCGTATCACCCCTGCATACAGATTTTTCACTGGAAAGCTTTTCTCTGATATTCAAAATCTTAAAAATATATAGATAATTGCATCTCAATTGTATCAGAAGTAAAGATAAAGCTACAAAACTACGGAAACATTTGTAAAACAAAGACCAACTGGCATTTCAGCTGCAAAACATAGGGTGGATTTTGTTCTCCTATATCAACCAGGGGTGGTTGCTCCAGGCCCCTGCCCTGTGGGACTAAGACAACAACTCACAAAAGGGGGTTGGGGGAGGTGGTTCCCTCTATATCCTAAAGTCAAACAAACAAAAACTAAACCAAACCCCATCTCTTTTATCACAGAGAGTGGAGTGGGGTGGGAAAGGACAGGCAGGGCAGGGGAAGGGGCAGCACTTGTTTTTCTTAGAACATTCTTCGAAAGATAATCTTGCAATACTTGTTACCTGCCCCTGCTCACCTCCACAGATTTCACGTTGACCTTCTATTCTTTAGGGTTGCCACAAATATTTATTTTGTAACTTGATTTTTCACCTGGATCCAAATGTTGGCAATAGGGGACCTTATGTAACGTTATTTCTTGCAGGCCCCACCTTCCTGTAGGGACAGCCAGCGCTACAACCATTTTGACGAAGAGTACTCGCTCTCCATAGATGTTGAATCGTTGGAACATGGAGGGAACAAACTGGAAGTGGCCAGTGGTCACGGAGCGCTTTGGCTTTTAGGGGTTTATTTGGAAGCTTAGAGAAATAGATCCTACTGTCAGCATTTGATGGTGACCATGGACTGCCTGAGGAGGCAGGGAGATAGTTCAAGGTGGTATTGAGGAATGGGTGGGTGCATCCATTTAAAAACTTCAGCACAAATGGGGGTGGGGTGCATTTGAGACCCCGTTCTTTTCCCAGTGGAAATCCATTAGCAGAATGAAAGGGAGAACTAGGTGATTATTTTAGATATAAACGCTTTCATTTGCAATCACCTAGGTAATGTATGCATTCCCTTTGCCTGGGTTGTTGAAATTGAAGCACTTCTTCGAATTACTTAGCAAACAGCTTTAGTTATCCATTTTACTAAGTGAATGGACTCAATGTCAGATATCCTGGGAATTTAGAAAGTGATTTTCAACCTTGACATAGTAGCAGGGACAGGGATGGCTCTTTTTCTGAAAGGTGAAGCAAGGATACACCCCTCCTCCCCCCGCTGCTGAGACGAAATGACTTCAGCCTTCCCTCTGGCTCCCTCTTATTTCTTTTGTCTTCTTTGGTCTTTACTCGCCTACACTGACTGACCCTCTACATCCACTACAAACTCGCTGTTTTACTGTTTGGAGTTCAGAATGCTTTGAGTTGTCTAGACAAAACATTTCATTGTGTGATAAGGAAATTTCCACTTTTATGCAAGGACATGTTCAAGTGGCTGCCTACAGGTGTTATTATCGTTTCTTCCTTGTCTATATATCTCCTTTGGAACTTCTCTTTCCAAATTTTATGCTTAAAAATAAAACCAGCCCTACCTGGTTTGGCTCAGTGAATAGAGCGTTGGCCTGCGGACTGAAGGGTCCCGGGTTCTATTCCAGTCAAGGGCACATGCCCGGTTTGCAGGCTTGATCCCCAGTAAGGGGCATGCAGGAGGTAGCTGATCAATGGTTCTCATCATTGATGTTTCTCTCCCTCTCCCTTCTGCTCTGAAATCTATAAAAATATAATTAAAAATTTAGATATACATATATATATAAACCAAAGTTACTTGTTCTAGCTGAGCTTTGAGTAAGGGCTTTTCATTGCAACACCCTGCAGGTCACCTGAATGTCACAACCCCTTTTCAGGTGAGATGCCTGGGGTCATCTGAATACAGAAGCTCTGAATACAGAGCTTCTTTCTATATTTTTTTCAGAAGCATTTGATGACTCAGAAGGAAGGAATACCTACCTGGATTCTGAAGAATGTCACCTACTCCTCAGCTTTTATCTCTGTTTGGTTTTCAGGGAGTTGGCCTCCAGCAAGATAACAATTCTTGCCCTTGTCTTATGACTCAAGCTTCTGGTACCGGGTCCTTGTATTTGGCCTTCTCAGTGCCCGCTCTTTCCTTCCGTCTTCTTGTTTTGACCTTGGTTTACCAACCCCATGAACTGGGGCAGCACAAACCTATAGGGGAGACCAGCTGTACCCCTCAGGCCCTGGGCTGCCTGCTCCTGACACCACCTCCGCCAGCCCAGGCCCAGCTAACAGAGAACACACACTTTCACCTGGTTAGCTTCTTCCCTCAGGGACCCAGAGTTCAGTTCAAGTAGGTTAAAGCATTACATTTGTCAATTTGTAAAGGATCAAGTTGTGAAAAGAAGGGCAATCCTGTTCTTGGAGACTTTATTAGCCAGTAAATGCAATATGATACATTTATAGGAGCGAAGACCCAGATTTTCTGAGCTTCACAGAGCCAGAGAGATGTGTTTATTTCATAGAGTTTATGGAATGGCTGTAGCATAGGTACATTTTTACAAGGCAGTCCAGTGACTTGAGTTATTCATAAAGTAAAAATGGGCAACAAGTACCTACAGGTCTAAGTATAATTTATATACATATTCACCTAATTAAATGCAAACAACCAAAGCCATCTGCTTTTAATTTTTGGTTTAATTTTTCAGTTCTTTCGTTGCTTTTTTTTTTATGTGAAAAGAAGGTGAATTAACTTTCTAAAAAAATTTTTATTATATCACAAGCTGGTATCACAGTAGATTGCACCTATGGTGGCAAACACTCGTATCAATAAAAGTGACATGAGGTCACATTCAAGAGTCCTTCACCGGAACAAAATAAATCAGAATTATATGGCAAACCCTTTACAGCTTGTTATCATTTTGCTAAGAAAACAGAGCTACTGAACCTTTTATATGCAGAAGCTGAATATAAGCAAGAAAGGGTTTTCAGGTGAAGCCAAATTCTGGAGCTGTACTTTGACACAGGTCTTCTATTAATCTTGTTATTGTTGTTAGTGCATTCTTGTTCTCCCTCCATTCCATTCGTGCTATTTTATGGCCTTTTAAAAAGAGACCTTCTGAGGGGGGGAAAGTATACATTTTAAGACTGGTGTAAAGGGCAGTACCAACTACGTAGGAAAGGCAGAGTATAAATAGCAGGGATAGAAAATTGTTGGATGGGTAGACAGATGGATGGATGGATAGATAGATAGATAGATAGATAGATATTACAACTTTCCTTTTAATTTTGAATCTCTCCTTTACATTTATCATGTGCCAGAAAATTAGGTGAGTCAGCAAAATGTTTTCAAGGAAGGACAGAAATTTCAGGAGTTGGTTTTAAAAATGTTTAGTTGTGTGTTTTTTTTTGACCGGCCGTGGTGGCTCAGGAGTTGAAATTTTTTGTTCTATTTAGAATGGCAAAGAAGAATGTGGTGCCACTTTATTTGTTTCTATTCTTGTGCATTTTCCATGCACATGAGCCAAACAAGTCAAGTTACACAAAACAAAGCATGACAATCTCTCTGACCACCTTCCCACTCCGACGTGGCCTCAGAGGGGTGGGAGGTGAAGCGTTGGTTGTGCGTTCTTCAGTTTCCTGTCTACGTGTTTCACACATATCTGTACACATCTACATATATCTGTTGTTTGCATACATGAGATCTCTATATATTCTTCTTCTTTTTTTTTCACCCAATATATCATGGAGCTCATTTTAGGCAAGTACACATAAGTCAATTTCTTTTTAATGGCTACACAGAATTTTATAGCATGAATCTATGATAATTCAGGTCTCTGTTATAGTACATTTTTTATTTCCATTGTTTTCCTATTATAAAATTCTACAATGAATATCTTTTTGTATTACTTTTTTAAAAGGGGGAGTATTTTTTTAGGATAGTTTCCCAGAAATGGAATTGCTGGCTCAAATAGTAATCCTTTTAAAATTTTTATAGGTTTTGCTAAATTGTCTTCCAAAAGCTTATCTTTTCACTGCATTATGAGTGCCCATTTTCTCACATTCTTGAAAGCCCTTGGGATTACAAATCATTTTTTTGTTTCATCTTTCTAATTGTGTGAGTGAACGTTTATATTTTATTATTGAGTTGATCATGTATTTACTTAATTACAAGGCTAATTGAACATTTATCTCTTTGTGAATTGCCTATGCATATTTTGGCCATTTTTTAATTTTTTTACTTTTGATTTGTTGAAGTTTTTATTAGCTTTGGATATTAATTCTCTGTCTGTTAAATGTATTGCAAATATTTTCTCCCAGTCTGTTCCTTTTTAAAAAGCCTTATTTATTTCTTAATCCTGTTTGAGCATATAAAATTATTGGTAACACTTAAACATTTCAAGAAATTTGGTAGCTAACATATTTCTTACCACATTAATTATTAAGTAAATTTTAAATGTAAACTTGAATCTTATTATATTCTGAACGTTTGCTTAAAGTGCCTTTGAATTTTTTCTCTTTAACTGTTTTTCTTTCTATTAAAACACTGTCCACATTATTACTGTCACCTTTTGTCTATTCTTGACATGTAAAAAGATACATGAAATATGAAAAGGTTATTTTAGCACCTGTGCACACAGACCCTAAGGTGACCCCCAATGAACTCTGCTTTCTGATGTTCATATCCTTGTCTAAGGTAAAGACATCCAGTATGCACGTCTCTTGCCTGAGAATCTGATAGTACAAAGCTGAAGAAGTCAAACTACTCATGACTGTTTGGAAAAGAGAACCAATGTCCAGGTGAGAAATAGGATGATTAAGAAGGCATTGTGCACTTGTAGAAATAGAATTATAGATAATGTATCTAACACACAAAGTCTATCATATAAGGTCATCAATAAAAGGTAGGTATTATTGTCATCATTTCATTTATTTTATCTCCGTTAACCCACAAGAAAACATTGAAAAGTCTTCATTATTATCCCTGTTTTTATAGAGATGGAAACAAGGTAAGAAAAAATTAACACTCTCCATTAATCACAGAGTGAGCTTGAACTGTAGTCTTCTGATTCTAATTTTAAGTCCTTTTCCCTGTGACATAGCAGTCTCCTAGACTTAGAGGTCTCACCTCTTTATTCCCTTATCATTACAGTTATAAGTATAGCTATAATTTCCTTATTAAATTTCTCTCAATCTTAGACAATGTGTATTCTTTTCTATGCTATTATTTAGTAGCCTCTTAAGAAAATGGTGAAACCTATGAAAAGATTTCTATCTAAGACTTCTTCTTAACTCTGGGTCTACAAGGAAGAAAGATTTCCTGACCCTTTTCTCAGACTCATAATCCACCTCGCATCACCTCCCCGCCTTTCCATTCCCTTTCCCCAGCTGTTATCCTATCGACTCGGGCGCTGGGGATGAAAAGACGCAAGATAAGATCCCTACTTGCCATGACTTCCAATTCAGCAACAAGACCGACACCTACACAATTAACCATAATGCACAGAAAGGGATTCGATGACATGGAAGCATTGAGAAGGAAGTGGGTGCTGACAGGACAATTGTTACACTAGTGGCAGGACACTTGGAGTGGCCTTTGAGCTGGTCCTTGAAAGAAAAGGAAGAATAAGGAGCAAGGGTGTCTGGGCAGCAGAAACAAAGGGCACCAACACTGCGAGTCATGAGCAATCCACCTGGGCATGGCCACTGGCCCAGCACACCCAGGCAGAGGGTTCCAGGAGGGAGCGAGCCGGAGAGAGAGGTGGGAACTAGGCTACAAAGGACTCCTGCCTTACTCAGGAGTTGGACTAAGAAGTTGGAGCTCGTCAAAGGATTTTAAGTAGTGATGTGATATAATCACATTTTTTCTCCCAAAAATAAAGACCATTCTGGTGCGAGTGTGGAGAATGGATTAAAAGGGTAGGAGATTGGAGAGTAGGAGATCACTTGAGAGGCCAACGTTTACAATGGCCTCTTCCCTCTAGGAAATAAACTCATCTACCTCCCGGTGAGGTTCAAATTAGGAATAAAAGGCTGAGTTCTTTTTTCTTATGAAAAACTAAAGATGAAAGTGGAGATGCCTCACCACTTGAGTGCTTTAATTGAAATTTCTTACGGAAAGGACAGTTGTAAAACCAGCAAGTAGCTTAAATTTGATTTTTTTTTTTTTTACTCAGATAACTTTACTGGGACCTCTTGTATTCAATGGGCACTTGCGGGGGAAATGGACATTCCATACTATGAGAGAACCTAATGAAATTAGTCTTTTACTTTTCAGGATAAATAGCCCTTCACTATAGTGCCGAAAGAATGATTATTTTTTAAGCAGAAAAAAAATTAGAAGTAATTCATTAGTTTCAGTTAGAAAGCCTGGCTGTTGATTTCTTAGTACTTTGATGGCATTGAGTTTTCTTCTATTTCTGTTCATCCGCCTCTCTGAGCTACGTGAAAAGCACCTACCTCAAAAACCTAGCACTAACGGCTTAATTTGACAATTTGTAGATGGTATTCTTATATTACCCTTTAGGACCTTAATAATTAGTTTTTCTTTAGTGCAGAATTAAAGCATTAAAGGTCATAAATTCCACAGTCACCTGTATCCATTTATTGCTAATTTATTATGAACCATATCATAAAACTTTCCTTGACATGGAGGCCTCTTCATAACTATAAATCTTTTTTCAACTGTTTAGATAACTTATGCTTAAGTTCAAGAAGAGACCTCTAGGAGCAAATATTTAAAACATCTATTTATTACACATTAAGGGTGCAGGGTGGGTAACCACGTGAAGTCACTGTGAAGGATTCATTAACATTCAGTATATTTATCACTTCAAACCTTTATAAAGATAAATTCGATCTCAAGAGGGAAAAAAGTTAACTGTCAAGTAGCTGTTTTACTAAGTGCTTTAAAAGGTCCAGCTGAATAAAGCTATCTCTCTAGTTAGTGCAGAACACACACAAAATGTTTCCAGGGAAGTTAAATGTGTCACTAGCAACCTCAGTTCAGCTTAAAAACTTTGCCAAATTGAAGGTCATCTCTTCAGATGACGAATATATCGTGTGATGTGACTGAAAGGTTGTTTCAACTATGGAGATGCAAAGCAGTAAAAACCCACAGTTACTGAACGCATTTGCCTTCCTGCTTAAACTTCTTACAGATATTGGATGCATTTGCTTTCCTGCTTAAACTTCTATGTGGATGCATATTTGTGGCACACACGTTCAGAAAGCGAGAGGAGAAAATCAACTCGCTGGAAAACCAATTTGTCGAATGAGCAATGCGCTGAAAATCAGAGTTTCCATGAGCTTTGTTTAATACTATCAGTATGTGGAGGGCGCCTACAGCGTTCAGACAGGATCAAGCCTCGGACTGACTTGTGGCAAAGCCACATACAAGTCCCAGCTTGGAGGCAAAGCCCTCCCAGCACAATTATAGCCAAAAGGCTATGGTTGTAAGCTTGACCTTATAGTCCAACCCTGCAGTCCTAGGTAGCTAAGGGATGTGGGCTGCGGGAGGGGGGGGGGGAGGAATTGTGGAGTGCAGTAGGTGCTGCCTAAACAAAGCTTGATAGAGTTCAGAGATTCAGAGAGTGGCAACAACAGGAAAGAAGTGGATTTGAAATTCACAAGAACATTGTAAACATCTTGCCCTTGTTTTTCTTTGTGTGATCTGACTATAAAATAAAGCTTCGGCTTACAGGCTGTGTCACTGTTTCCTCATCCAGGCACAGTGATTCACCTAGTCCCAACTGTATTCTCTTGTCTGTCTTCTTTAATCCTTCACCGCCCCTCCTCAGGTTCACCCCTGGCCGTGCTGGACGCAATCCATCAGAAACCATAATGCATGAGATGGTTGCAACATTCTTGGGGATTTTCTCTTTCTTTCAAAGCTTTCGTTTTGCTTTAATTTTTCTGCAGCTGCAGTGGTGAGCCCAATCAGAATATTCTAGGTTTTACCATACTCTGACTGTAGGAGATAAAAATATCCTGTATATTTCTTTTTCCTAATATATTTTTTATTTCAGAGAGGAAGGGAGAGGGAGATAGAAACATCAGTGATGAGAGAGAATCATTGATCAGCTGCCTTCTGCACGCCCCACACTGGGGATCGTGCCCACAACCCAGGCAAGTACCCTGACCTGGAATCGAACCATGACCTCCTGGTTCATAGGTTGATACTCAACCACTGAGCCATGCCAGCTGGGCTCCTTTATATTTCAATGACAAATATAAGTTTATTGACTGCCTTATAAACAATGGTGTGGGTTTTTCTTTTAACATATTTTCAACCCAGCCTTCTGTGCTTTTCTTAATTTGCCATTGAACCAGCCCAATACAATAATGAGCATTTTGCATGTGTTTAGCTTCTGAGAAGTATGCTCTATCTCAAATCTTAAACAGACATGAACTTAGCATAACAGAACTACACTGACAAGTTCACTGTAAATGGCTGGGACGAAAGGAGCACAGCAAAACTAAAACTGAGTGAACACCAAAAACTGATAAACTCTTGAACACTCTGCTACATGATTTGCTGAAATCTTCCTTTCTCATGGGAACCATGGGCTTGTATCCCCTGGGCAACGTGTCTACATGCAGAAGTGAAGTTGCCTAGAGTGGATTACTATCCTCACTGGGAGGAAAACCTCTAATTTGAAATATATCAGCCATCAACAATGAATTTTATAAATTTGACTAAGTGGTGACTCTGAGAATTATTATCATTTGTAAATTATCCGTTGGCCAAAGAAAAGCACATTATAAAGAACTAGAGGCCCGATGCACGAATTCATGCATGGGTGGGGTCCCTCGGTCTGGCCGGCCATTTAAGGTTTTCCTTAGGTCAATTGAATTCCAGTTTTTACACTAAAAATAAATGAAAAAAACAGTCCTTTGGATATACCGAAGCTATTCCAAAGGACACCAAAACTGACATCAACTATAACCCAAGGTGTTTGAAAATATCTCCATTTAGAGAGTTTCAAAAGGAGTCAGATTAGCCTGGTAACATGGGGCCATTTGTCAGGTGAATCAACAGAACCCATCAATGACTGTTAAGTACACACATTTGGAATGAAAACACATCCTTTTGAGATTGAGGAGATCAATCCAAACTGCTATTTTTGTTATTGTTTTGAGGAGACAGCTTACCTTAGTCATTATGAAACCAGAATTTACTCCCATTTCAGCTAAAAAGTGGATTGTGAACTCACCTTCTCTTAGTGGAGCGCTGCCTTTGTAATGTGGCCAAATGCCAAACAGGCTCAAAGCCCATTATGATCATTTGTAAACATCACTACAGTTTAATATTTTCAGAATGCACACACTTCCACTTAGCTGGAGAGGAAATGTCCTCTTCAAACTCAGTATGATATCTCTCTCTCTATCTCTATCTCTATCTCTAGCTCTAGCTCTATCTCTATCTCTATGTCTATCTCTATCTCTTATATAAGAGCAGTGGTTCTCATGGGCAAGGTGGGGTGCGAGCTACTAGCAGCGGAAGGCGGGGCAGCGAGCTATGAGCTGCGATGGGCAGGACGCCCAGCTGAGGCAAGCGGAAGCGAGCTACTCGCACACGATTTCGTGCACGCTGGGCCTCTAGTATACACACACACACACACACACACACACACACACACACACATACACACACACACATATACTGCTTTTTTTTTTTTTTTTTTCACAAAAATGATCTTCAGAAATCTGGTTCATTCTGTGAGCTTTCCCAAAGTGGTAACTTTGGCAGGAAGTCTAAAAAAGGTGACGTCTAGAGAACCACTGAACTCA